ACACTACACGACACGCCCACCTGACACGACCCTACGGTGGCTGAGAGGCACTACCGTTAAAAGCGAATTGACGACACTACACGACAGGAGGAGAGGTTTTCGGGTTTAGGTTTGGGAGGGAGCAAGGAAGATTAGGATTAGGTAAAAAGGTAGGGAGTGGTTAGGGTTAGGATGGGGGGAAGGGAAGGGTTAGATTGAAGGGAGGGAAGAGAACTGCTACCCGGGAAACAGGATGCAACGCGTCATCTGTGAAGCTCCGCCCACGTTGAGCTCCCGCCCACATTGAGCTCATTGAGGCATTGCGCACTGCAGTGAGGGGCTTCTCGTCCGCGGCCGCAGCTAGACCCTTCTCAGCCACCGTAGGGTCGTGTCAGGTGGGCGTGTCGTGTAGTGTCGTGTAGTGTACTGTACTGTCCGCAGCTAGACCCTTCTCCCAATATGGCGGACCATCTCGCACATGCGCAGTACAGATCGGGCAGGGGTACGGATCATAGATATATATCCATTGTACGGATCGGGTAGTGACAGTATGGTGACAGCGAGCACCGCGAGAGAAGCTACGCTTTGCTCCCACAATGCAGTTCGGCGAATCGTGACGTCAGCCCATCCAATGTCAATGGGCAGAAAGCGTTGAAGCGCAACGCACCAGCCGCCGTGTGTAGGGGCCGCAAGTCGGACAAAATAGGCTTGTTGGACGATGCTGCGGCTCGCCTCGAAAGTAGACGAGAATAGCATCGCAGCGGGGGGGGAGGTCTCAAAAAGCTCGCCTGAAGTCGGACAGCTCGGAGTCGGCTTCTTTTTCTTCTCTCGGTCTTTTGGCGGATTGCAAACAACTTTAAGGTGCATACCGCCACCTCCGGAGTCGGCTTGACTCGGTTTGCATAAAGAATGCACAAATGTGTTTAATCGTTAATGTCGGATAGCCTATTTACTAAGTAAATACATTTGTTCCTGCTCAAGATTAGATTCAACTTTATTGTTATTGCACAGATTACAGGTACTGAGACAACGAAATGCAGTTTAGCTTCTAACCAGGAGTGCAAAAAGTAGTAAAGCAAAAAGTAATGTACACAATCTACAGAATAAAAGATAGAATGAATTGAATGATGAATAAACAGTGAGGGGTATGAATACACAATATATACACAGCAGCCTGTGAGCAGTATTAACAGTGTGTATGAATATGCTAAGATATATAAAGTATAAAAACGGTAAGCAGTGCAAGTATAGTATAACATATATAGATATTAATTTCATGCTGATAAACATTGTGGAACAATGATGAAAAATGTGAATGGAAGTGGCGAGGTAAAACTGACACAAAACAACAACAAACTTTTGCCGAGCCAATTGGAGAGTTTCATCACCAGCACGGGGTAAAAACCACCAATGAGCGCTCAGCTCGAGATACCAGCGAGTCGTTTCCCATCAAGCATTTCGCCTCCGCAGCCCGTGGAGAGGAACTGCGCCGCCTCGCCTCGCTCTCAAGTCTGCGGGCGTCTTTGTCCTGCGAGATTTCAACGTCTCATGTGAGCGAGCCTCCAGAGCAAGTCGGACAAAATGGCTCACCATCATGCAACGCACTAGCAACACGTTGATCGCAACTGCGCAGGTCTCGCTTGTCTCAAACAAGCCTACTGACTAACCATCATGCAAAGCACTAGCAAGACGGCGATCGCAATTGCGCAGGTCTGCGTCTGTCTCGCTCGTCTCAAAAACGCCTCTTCTGTTACTGTCCTTTCTTCCTAGAGGAAGTACAGAAACAATTAACTCTGGATTGGTTTTAATGTTTGAGGTGCAATAAACGACACAGCAGCTTTTTGGCATGTTAAAACGATTATTTTCTGCCTCGCTCATGAGAGTAACAGCTGGCGAAATTACAGCCTCGCCTACTGATTTTAATTTAACCATGTATCGAGCCTGATTCTCGATTTCAAATGTGTGCTCTAAAATGATATTTATAAATGACTATTATCATTATTATAAGCAAGACAATAAATGGCAAATATATGTAGAAAATAAACGTATAAGATACGTTCATAACAAACGTAATGTGGGAGAAAATACGTTTCTAGCTAAACGTAATTGAGAATGCAGTTTAGTTCTGTGGGAACGCAATTTGTAGGAGACAGGGTTGGATTTATTTTGTATGAATTTATGTTTCATCCAATCACAGAGCTTGTTGACTTATCACGAGGTGTGCAAAGCGGACAGGCGTGGTCACAACAATAGCCGGGGATTGTGGGTAGTGTAGTCTCTTTGGCGCTCCACATTTCAGAGAAAACAAGTCGTTTCTCAGAATTGAAGGGAAAAAACACAAAAGCATTGCACACAATTTAAACCTATCAATGTCATTTAATTAACAAAGATAATATGGTGTTTTTGAGTTGATGAGTAGCGGAGATATCACTGTCAAATCAATCGACAGTAAGGAGAATACTTACTTCCGGGTGTACAATTCTCCGTTATCCAATGGGAATGGACGCACACATTGCCTTTAACAGACGCCGACAAATACCGCCGCCGATGGGAATACATTGCAATCAGTTGAAAGCTCTTTGCGTCCGTTTATGAAGCTGAAGGAGCCTCGGCGCGTCCCAACTGCACGCCACGGGACTGACCAAACGTCGCTCCTGGTTGTTTAGGGAGTGAGTGTGTGTTGATTGTTCTCAAGTAAGAGCAGGAGTGTCCCCACATGGCGGCTAGCAGCTCATGTTGCTAATAGCACAGTGCAGACAACAGCAACAGTGCCGACAGAGATGCTGTGGTGTACGGAACTACGCCTAAAAATATACAAAAGTGCTGTTAATTTGTAAAGATAACCTTTACAAACAAAAACCTGTAGCCTATAAATGTGCTGGCTGGCTCCAGAGCTTAATTTCTATAATTTACCAACAATACCATTTGTTTTGGTCGAGGCAACCAGTGAGATGCTAACTTTTGGTTTGGCTACAAAATTACGTCGTCCCTGCACCACTCTATGGGCCATTTTGCATTGAGTACTTTTGCTTTTGGTAAGTGCCTTATGCTAATAATTGTGTTGTTTTACTTTACTAAAATGTTATATATAATTCTTTGTTGCAACAGAGGACCCAGGGGTAGCCTATTACTTTGTTTAATGACCTCTTTTTAAGTGCAAAAATGAATAAATCCACAACTAAAATATGAAAGGTCACTTTTGGCAACTATGCTTTTGTGATGAATATATAATATATATAAATGATTTTTAGATGAACATAGGTGAATATAATATTTTCATAGTGTAGGCCCTGCTGCTCAAATATTACTTACATTTTAACACTGTAAAGCTTTTGATTGTAAATATTAATAACAGCTTCCCTTTCTCTGCAGTGACATTTAGTTCCACCATGGCTGCTGTCTTGCAGCTCACTCTGAAGACCTGAGTCCTTGTATTTAATGCAGAGAGCCCAGCACTCTGATCTTAATGGCATTTTTAATTAGCACTTAATTAAAGGCAGGTGGCCGGGAAAGGTCAGCCAGTTAGGCCTGTGAGTTAAAAACACAGACAGGCTGAGGCACGAGTATTGACTGTTCCAAGGATCCGTCTGCTAACCACAGTGACACGAAACCTGGACACCGATCTGCTGTAGGTTCAAAATTAAACAGAGAAAAGAATATAAAATATTTAAAAAAAATACTTCCTACAATTATTTTACATCTATTTGGCCTTAACAATAAATACGTTAAAACTTTATCACATTTTCAGTTGCTTTTTTACAGAAATGTTAAAGTAGTAGCCACATTTAACCCAAGAAAGGAATTAAATACTGGGCATCCGAAGAATTTGACTGTTACACAGCATGGCTTTTTGTGTGTATGTTCTGTATGCACGTATACCTTATGACTGGGCTCCACACTGGTCTGTTCAAGAAAGCAAAATCAAATCAAAAGCAGCTTCTGCAGAAAACTGACACAATAGTCCAGACTGTCAGTTGGATTTTCATTCTACTCATTTCACCAACACAATGGCTGCAGCGTGATCTAAAGTTGTCGTGCCTAGGCTCTGAAAAACAGAGCTGGGAACAGTATTGATTGGAGTCAGAATTATAGATCACTGTGTCTGAATGAGTGATGAAGCTGTCACACTGTTGCTCTCACCTGACAAGCACACACATTCAAAACCCTGAACCCTGAATCTCAGTGCTGCACTAACATTATGTTTAACTACCGTAGCGAACATACACAAATATATATTTTGAATTAGCTGGGAAATACATTATTTTTGTGCTGTGGTTGACAGCACAACATATACATTATATATTAGTGAACAATTGAACAATCCAGTCAGAAACCAGCCTTCGGGAACTCAGGAGATTTTAATTTTTGGAAACAGAAAAATACATAGTTTAGGTGAGGTAACAGAAATTACTTTTACATTTTCAGTGAATGAAATGTATTATATTTTTGGTTTCTGGCATCGGAAATGTAAAACAGCAGGACTAATAACACAGACAAACACTTTAAATGTAAACCATCATACTTTATGAGCGTGTAGAGTATTAAATTGTAAGGCTGTAAAATGCCAGTTGAGCATCAGCCTTTTTGCACATCTCATCTACTCATCACATCCTCAGCCGTCTACACACTGAGCCTCAGCTGATATTAATGCTCTCAATGTGATACTGAAAATAATCCCTTATGTATGTATGCCGTGCTTTTTCTCCTGAAAGGACTGGGCGACACCACTGAGGGGCAGCAGAATTACACGCCTGCATTTTGTTTTTCACCGTAATGCTCAGACTATTATATTTATGGTGAAAAACCCTATTGTTTGTAATAAACAGAAAGTACACTTATTGTCCTACAAAGTGTCCAGTTATGGGCTGTCAGCAGATGCTTTATGGGAAGTAAATGTGTCTTTGATGTGATGGATCACCACATAATTAAACGTGAAATGTTGAGATAAATATTATGAGGTAAAATCATTGTTCAACAAATACATTAATACAAAAAAAATGCAATAACACAGTGAAAACAAGTCATATAACAATTCAGTTTATTTTTATTTATTTTCCAGACAGACACATCAATTTCTGGACCACAGTAGAGGATGGAAACCTTTCACAGACATTTTTTGTCAATATTATTATTTGAAAATACAAATATAAAATTAGACTTTCCACATTTGATATGTGAGAGACCCCCATCCATTATTATTATTATTATTATTTTTTTTTTAAAGTATATTTTACAACAGGGCTTAAGCAAGCCATATAACCTGAAAGATGCTTTCAGATGTCAGTCAAGTCTGTCTGTCTCTCGCCATAAAAAGTTGGTTAACATAAAAAAAGGGGCAAGTGTTAGGAATGGGCAGACAGCAGTGAAGAGAGCTCTGTGCTCAGCCTGCACAAACATGGAAGCACAGCAGAGCCTCACACTGCCGTCCATGCAGTCTGAAGAGCTTCCAGGCTCCCCTCTAGGCCATGCGGTCGGCTCCAAACTCGTCAACACGCCACGGGTGAACTCTCGTGTCGGTGAACAGAAGCTAATAATGCCTACATGAGCCCGGGTGTAGCTGTGTAACGAGTATTCTGTATACAGCTGAGGTCTCCAGTCTAATATTCTTCAGACAAGGTCAAATGCATGAGAATTGCAAATATATACTCATCTATACACTTATATATTGCAATTGTTTGTATATATTTAGCGATGAGCGTGAGATGGCAATGGTTTGAACTGAAAGGGAAATTCACCCTGAAACACAACAGTAAAGTCAAACTTGTGATATTTCTGTCACCTTGAAGTTTGTGAAGGTTTTTATGTTTTGGAACAAGAGAGAGTCAATGTGACAGTATCTATCAGAGATAAGGGCACACTGTTTGGTTTGAACCATCAGCACCACTGTGAATAAGCCTTTTTGGGTCTACATGCTCAAGATCGTTCAATGAGGCTTTAAAGTAATTAATTGGAAATAGAGCCGAGCCTGAAACAGTCTGATGTCCAAGCTTCTTATCCATGAAGCAGATTCAAATCCGACAGAAATCTCAAACGTGTTTTGTGTGGTTTTCAGGGTGGGCTTTTCCCCCCCCGGCGGATGGGATCAATAGTTTGGCCATTGCCTAGCACTTGCCTCAAGATTCAAGTTTAAATGGATACGGTAGTACACTACAAATGTCAACTCCTTCCAGGTTGACTTTTTTTCTTTTTTTGATTTCTTTTTTTTTCTTAAACCAAGACCCCTCCCCTCTCCCCAAATGTATAAGCTAGCCTACTAAGATGTGTAACATTCATCAGCTGTAAACTGCTGTCAGTTTGAGATTCAAATGAAATTAGAGCAACAGAGCCATGCTACCTTAAAGTCCACGCTACAGGATCACAAAACAATAGGAGCTTGTGTGAGGGGAAAACCTGCCATTTCAAGTCAGAAAGGGTTTTACTGTCTTAGGGGCTGGAACAGTGAGAACAACTAAAGTATCTGTGTATTTCCAGATGAAATGGCAGCACAATTGGAACCAACAGCAGCTCCTAATGAGCTCCTTGTAGGTGGTATGAGTTAGAGTTTATTATTTGATCAAATACTTATAAACAGGGACATTGCTGCAAACGAAGAGGAACACTTTCTTTTGTCTTTTCTATAAAACTTAACTAGTGCACATGAATGATAGATTCTAACATGTTAATTGTTTTTCTACAGTTGAGATATGTTTGAAAATATAAATGTGCAAATGAGGTGAAAACTAGATTGAATACTCCGAATGTTATTACATTATTTTTTACGCTTTATTTTTTTACTGTATTGTCAGATGTGATCAATTACTTTTACAATACAATATCTGAAATTGATATATTTTAAATATAATTAGACTTTTTAACATTTGTTTTGGGCATAATCTCTCTATTTCTACACAATGTCCTGTATACGTGCTGAATTCATTGGAATAATAATGGCACTAACAGAGCTGCCATTACTGAACATACAAATGTAATTTGACAGTCTACTGGGTGAGAGAAATGAATAAACACTAATGTTATTAATTATTGTAACAGTACTCAATTTTAAGACCCCATGAGGTGAAATAAAAAATAAAATGGTCATTAAACCTAAATGATGTTTAATTGAAATTATACTAATAGAAATAATAACGCACACAGCGTGAGGCTTTATAATAGCTCGTTTTTTTGTAGAAATTCGGCTTGTGGAAATCTGTGAATTCTGGACATCCTTTGAGTATTTGGAGGGAATTTTCAGCATAGAGATTAACATTTTAATTTATTATCTTCTGAAATATGAACCATCTATTAATCCGCCTTAAGAGTGATACACACTAATCCTGTTACAGCTGCAGAATAATATCTGTTTAATGGAGTCTTTCACAGTATGACATTTTTATAGCAATGCCTCTATAATATCAATATGTTGGATCATTGATAACGCATTCAAACTAAATCTAGCTCCAAGAATCTACGGTTAAAATTATTGAGTTATTATTAAAGTCTTTGAGAGAATTAAGAGACAGGGCCATCTGGGATCAGTGTGAACAGTAAAATATATAACAGGTCATTTAAACAGCACGATGAGTCATTAGTATGTCTTTTTTTTTTTTTAAATATATGCTTTTTCTTTTACATAAAATCTTGATAATAGCTTGTGTCCCTCTTAAAAACAAAGAAAAAAACAACAGTTTTGCATATCTAGCGTTAGCATTTAAGGTAGTATGGCACACCCCTTTTAAAACATTCAAGGGTGGGGATCCAAATAATGCCTCGTGTACAACTCCATCTTACAGCAACTGTTTCTCTATTGTTCATCCATGAGAGCTTTGGTTAGCTGAAACCATGTGAGAGTGGCAAAAAGCAACAACAAAAAAGATACAGGGAATCAAATTACAATGAACCTCTATCAAAAAGAATAGTCTGCAAATATCAGAATAACATGATCATTTAGAGAAAGGTCTATCTTGACTGGTCCTAAATCCACTATTCACTACGAGTATTATATTAATGAGTCCTATACAACATCTACTTTGTAATTACAGGAGATAGAAAAAGAGCGCGATAGGGAGAGGGATAAATATGAGAGAAAGGAGAGGTAGAGCAAAGGGAGAACAACAAAGACCACTACACTGGTATCAAAGACAGCACTCTGTTTACAAGGTAACTGTGGTTTCTTTACACACTAATGAATTACATGAATGATCAACAAAAGAAGTAGGATCTCTGAAGGATGGGGAATGGAAAGAGAGAAAGCAATGGATGCACAGTACATTTTAATAGTATATTACAATTATTCATATATAAACCACAAAGTATCAATAAAACTCTGATTAAACTTGAAATCAGCAAAGAAGCATCTTTCTTTTTTTTATAGTTTCGTATTTTCTTTTACATTTGAACATTACAAGGTTTTTTTTTTTCTCCGTTAAATTATGACTTGATCACACCTCCGTATCATTAACTTTAGAAGTATCCAGCATATTTCTTTACCTGGTTGTTTTCAAATAAAAGACAAAGAAGTGGGTAAAATGAAAAAGGACAAAAATACACCTGCAGCAGGTCAAGTATTTCACACCATTCGTTTCATTAATGATTTGGAAAACCAGATATTTATATAATTATTAAATGTTTGTCATAAGTAAAATCATTAAGCACACATACTGTGTAAAACCTGGTGCAGTGCGAATAATTCAGTGTCATTTTTTAACCCTGTATAAATATCTTTAGATGGGTCTAATATACAAAGAGATCCACTGCAACAAATCTACTTCCCAAGCTGTTTCCTCACCTCAAAACTCTGAAGTGTTAGTCTAGCACATTAACCCAAGAAATCCTTCATACTATCCCAAAGCACAAGGCCGTTCTCTTTTAAAAAGCCGACATATACATGTGCAAATAGGAAACTGGCCTGTACTCTTACTACTCACAGTGCATCGATTTCTCGCTTTATTACCTTTCAGTGTTTTATTTTGCCACTAGAATAACTTAAACCTGCCAATGATTCCACGATTGAACTCACAAAGGCTGAGGTATGGTATCAAAATGTTTACTTTCCTAATTCGCTCATAAAAGAACCGGTTCAGAGAACAAGCGGCACATAGAGGCTCTCAGCACAGAGCTCAAGGTATTGTGTTCCTAAAAAAAATAAAAAAATCAGGAACAAGCAGGATGAAACAAACAATAGAAACAACGAACAAGTTCCTCTCAAGAGTATAAAAGTGTCAGGATGCACAGAGCACTGTCCAATGCCTGTTCAAGTTCTAATCTTCACATCTAAGTACAGTGTGCTTTGGATTCTTTTCTGTCTCTCTCTTTGAAATGATACTGATATCTGAGCAGTGAGATACCAATCAGGCTCTTTTTTTTATTTCTTACAACTGTGTTGACTTACAGCTCGCCGTTTGTGAATTTGCTGGTATGACACTTGTAAAATGATTCAGTATTTACAGAGCAAGCGTGTTCTGTTCATCTCCGGGGTCTTTTATACCGTCTTCCAGCAGAAGAAAAAAAGTATAATAATAATAACTGTTTACAGCTTTTTTCTTCTATTCACACGCTATAACATGTTTCTTTTGACACACCATCACAAAAATATGCTATTCTCTCACTGAGTTGGTTATATGCAGTGACTGGAATAATATGTACAGCTACATTTCTTTTTCTCAAGTTTGAATTCACAATGTAGTTATATGAAATTTGTTATAGCATATATATATATATATATATTTCTAAACAACAAAAACAACACTTATAAAAAAGGACCATAAAAATATTGGAGTCCTCTTTGTATTGCCCAAAAATAGGTAATTATGGTTAACAATGAGACATCACAAGAAATAAAACAGCTACTGAGATTTATTACTTAGATACCCTCTTAAAATGTTCCTTAAAATTGAATTTTTTTTCTCTCTTCACACTGAGCTTCTTTTTTATTCGGAAAGACTGATTTCAACAACCTTTCCCCTTCACACTTGGCTATGACCCCTTTACTTCAAACAAAACCCCTTTTACACAAATATACTATAAGATTAAATAAAATGACACAAAATTAAGGTTAAAAATGACTCTCTAAAAACTAAGGAAAACAAAGCGCTAACAGAGGGAGGGAATTGGTGAATGAAATCCACGTGACACATCATACCAAACCAGGTTGTAAAGTTATAGGAGGTTTGGATTATAGTACAGCAGTTGTTATTTTTCTGAGATGACTAACGTTTTTCTTTTCTTCTTCATAAGGTTCACACCTTCATTCTTTTTGCCAGGGTGACGCTGTAGTGCTCGAAGTTGGTTAGCATCACCTGCACACAAAGCCAATTAGAAACTCCGTCCTGTCTTTCCCGGGCCACCAGATATACTCTGCTGGGCGATAGAGAAAGAAGAAGGGATGGCAACATCATTAGAAACCCTTAATGACAGCAATCTGTACTCACCAATATGAATTCCACATAAAATAATGTGGCTCAATAGCATGAATAAAATGTCACAATCTAAAGTCTTTGATTCTAAGCAGGGTTGGGTCAGATTTCTTTGAAATGTATTCTGTTACAGCAGATACTATTACTGGTCAAAAGATATGTTATCAATTACATTTTTTATATGTAATCCGAATGCTTTTAGATTATTTCAAAATCAAACCTTAAAATATGCAGTGTCTTTTTGCACCTGGGTGAAAATAGCTACACCACAGCTATATGGCTATTTACACCCACCCAGCACCAAACATAGCACTATTTACACTCCGGGTGTACATTGCATTGTTGTCACCCGTGGTACATATGGCATTATGACTATAGACACCCGGGTACATATGGCATTATGACTATAGACACCCGGGTACATATGGCATTATGACTATAGACACCCGGGTACATATGGCATTATGACTATAGATACCCGCGTACATATGGCATTATGACTATAGATACCCGGGTAAATATGGCATTATGACTATAGATACCCGGGTACATATGGCATTATGACTATAGACAACCGGGTACATATGGCATTAAGACTATAGATACCCGGGTACATATGGCATTATGACTATAGACACCCGGGTACATATGGCATTATCACTATAGACACCCGGGTACATATGGCATTATCACTATAGACACCCGGGTACATATGGCATTATGACTATAGATACCAAGGTGCAAATAGCATCTACCTCAAACATATTGCACCTTATGCATCTGGTTTGATTATAGTTACTTATTTTTTACGTAATCGGATTACGTAATCTCTTACTACCCAACCCTGCTTCTAGGTTACAATAATGTTCACACCCTGTTGAGGTTTGTTAAAGTTGTCATGCTTAGTGAGAAATTAAACAACATATGTGTGCATACATGAGTTTAACACACACATCACACATCATATCCACAAAAAATAGCTGAAAGCAGACGAACAGCCTGACACATTTGGATGCACTACAGTACAGATGAGGGGCAATGGCATAGGCTTAGCATAGAGATGAATTACAGGGACAAAAGAAACATGATGAAACTGAAGTATTCGGTAATCATAGACATTTATTGCCTGGTTAAAATGTGTTGATTAACCGCCGTTGACTTGTTGGTTAAAGTTTTGGATTTATGTGTGATCTGTCCTTTAAAATATGTGTACAGATTTTTTATGGACAAATAAAAAAATGTTAAAAATAAGAAAAACAGCTAGTGTGTGTGACTGAAATATACACTTCCCACAGCAAGGCATACAAACTATTGTATTGCTCAATCAATGCTGATCTTAATCTCCTAAAGTGTATGTGAGCCTTCCGTCACACTCGCAATTTAACTACCAGCTGTTTTTCACGTTCAGGGAGGTGTAAACAGGGAATGATGTGATGAACATGTATTAGATAGAGACTTGAAAGGAAATGCACAGTAAATAAAATGCAATACCTCTGATGAGATGGCAACCGGCCACCTGTTCAATGGTATCCATTTGTAAAAGCTGTCGCAATCAACGGGCCCTAAAAGTGTACAGTTAGTGCTTTTGTCAGTATGCATTTCAAGGAGAGAAAAAGTGAGAATCATTTCAATAATGTGAACGCTTTGATTCAGTTTGATCATGTTCAGCAGCAAAGCAGGATTGTCACACATGTTATACAAGTTCACTTTATATTATTGTAATGGGAAACGGCAACATTAAAACAGGATGTAGGACCCATTAAAGATGGTTAGAAATACTATAAGAAGTAAATGATCTCCAAGTTACTTTGAATCCCCTAAGCCAACATATTTCTCAAGTTACAATAAAAACAAAAGCAATAAATGAGATAATAAAACACAAGATCCCCATTCATGCTAACATATACAGCTGATTGGTTCTGAAAGGCTGCACTGAATAGGATGGCGAACAGCCCTCAGGATGATAAGTGTGTTTTCGTGTATTGAACGCTCTTCATTGTGAGGCTCAGCTATCAGGAGGCTGTGCATTTTTGCTGCTGACAGTTCTGCAGAAATCCTCGTGCTGAAAAGAGAAGCATTTTCGACGCCTATTATCCGTCTTTATCGCTTCAATCAACTAATTGCACTCTAATTGTCTTGCATAAAAAACTGTTAAGTTCATTACTGCTTCTTCACAGTGGCTGTTTTGATATTGGCTAAAGGGATTAATAGAATCGCTGGAGCGTGAGAGCAGGCGAGAAATCAGCGACTCTGAAGTCATCCATGAGGCTATGACATATGATGATCTGATGTATTCAGGTTAATAGCATACTCAGTCAAAAGAAAATAAGTATAAAGCACATTTTAGTTCTGAATCATTTCCCATTTGAATGTTCTGAATAGAGAGATCATCTCCCTGAGAGGGGGGAGTCAGGGGGCCCACACCCCCCTCTGCCTGATTCTGAAGTGGTGATTTAGTGCGTGGTATCATTCTGTAGGGGGAATCACTAAACCTGGCCTTGGTGGAATACACTTTATTCTAGGCTCATTTGTGATATAAATGAGCGTATTTGACTCTTTTGAAGAAAATATGATAAACATTTCTGTTCGGAGTTTATTGTATATGTTGCGTTTTATTTGAAATGTTCTGACTCACAAGTGTTACAACAAATAAAAAATATTGGAAACAAATCGCCTCATTTCCATCTGTAAACTATCTGCTAGTAGATGTGCTTGAAAATGAGCCAGTCTGGTGTTTCATAACAACTATTTAGCTTCCTACGCTGAGACCAACAGATTATGGCAGATAGCCAGTGGACCTAAAACGATTCATAAGAGGGGCTTTGCTTAGGAAGCAAAAAGCCAACTCTTTTTTTCTCCGTTAAGCTCTCTTTTTCTTTGGATACCATAAATCAATTAAACACATTTGCTAAAATGAGATGGTTTATCTTTTTATTAGCTAGTGACACTACTATAATGAAAACATTTCTGGACACTCACTTTATCCTCTCTGAGCCCTGGCATTTAGTCCCATTGATTCTATGTAGCGCACACACTATTTCTCACATGAAACCACTGAGTAAGTGACAATTTACCACAGAAGCGATTAAATACAACTACCAGACAAAATCTAATAAAAAAATACAACAAACGTCAACAATTCTTGTACTTTTTGGTGACTATATAAGGAAATAAAAATAATGATGTTGGCTCTAAAGTTGGAGCTTCTTCACCCTGCAGTGTACTAATGGGCTTGTTGTTATTCCACCTCAGTTAAGCCATGCATTCATTAGCTTCTTTCAGAAAAGCAGGTGTTATTTTCATAACCTATACTGTGTCACTCAGTTCAGTCATGTAAAACAGTGCAAACATGCCCCGACAAGACTGGCAGCGAGACGAGGAGCTTAGCCCCGCCGCACCTTGCTAGGGGCCATAAAATTCATAATGCAGCGTTTTAGATGAATTATTCAGCGAGGTCCGACACAGGCAGAGTAAACACAGCGCTGATGGAGACTTTATTTGGGGAGATCGTCCCTTTGGTGACAACAATGTCCTGAACATAAGGTAGAATCTCAGGAAGACTCATTTAAGTTGACTTATTTAGACGCTAACATTTCAACATTTGTGGTACACACTTTTAAACACTATTGACCCAGGACTAGTGCTACCAGGGGGCCCATTGTGACTCATTGATGGTGACTGAGAGAGAATAAGATATACAAATCAGTCTTCATAGGATCATTATTTATTGACTATTTCTGTAAGCACGTCATATTGCATACATCATGTCATAAAATGCACTTATTACATGTTTTTATACTGTTTACAAGTGCTTAATAAGCTAGCTAGCTACTATCAAGAGTTTATTGGCATTGATGATCTCTCCATGAATTGGTGGTCTAATAAAAGAGAACCCTGTTTTTAGATTCTCTTTCCCAATAGTTTATAAAATAGGGCGTTACTATCTTTCAAGGAGGTGTCTTCTTTGTCACTGGGGCCTTTTAAACATTTCTGAATTGGCTTCTTTTTGATAACAGCGAGAGCAACATTTTTGATTTTAACCAGGTTGCTGCACACTAGCTACACCTAGTCACACTGAGAGCACCTCTGCTGGCCCTGCTACTCGCTCACTCATGAGATGATGTAGCATTTTGCAGCTAACAGATCATAAAGACATGTAGAGGTGCACCAGCACCTGGCTGAGCAGCTACACCTGGACAAGGACACGCAGAGACAAAACCTCCGTCCCTGTGACGGAGCGAACTCCAGCTCTGGGACAGATGGCTTTCTAAAAATAAAGGACATTTGTTCTGGGAAGGTGACACAGAGTTTGAAGTCAGGTGATTTGTGCAACAGCTAAGGGGAATAAACATTTGCATTTGACACGGATAACTTTGAGAGAGGAGACGGGGTTAACCCTGACGTACTAAATGCTAACGGAACCTGTGAACTCAATGGCATTAGATACCTCTCTGCAAAGAAACATGGTAACCCTTTCAATGACGCTCAGGACTGCATTAAAAACATGCCTATAAAGCCTTGTAAACACACTTTAAGTCTGCTTATAGCACTGTTTGATTATAGATACAGATATGAAACATGTTATAATGACTCACAAGGTCAAGTATCATAATACTTCATAAATATTGGTCACTGACTGGCATTATAAGTTACTAAGGTTTACTAAAGTGGCCATTGTTTGCTTTCAATAGTTCATACTCATATTACAACTTTGATATTGAATGTATATTACACTATGATCCTTGCAGAAAAAAGTGCAAGTGAGTGACCAGCAATTATGAAGTATTTGAACATTATAAGTCATTATAAAAAGCATGTGAACATTAAATGTAATATTAAAGTGTTTATAGCTATAATTATATAGTTGCCAAAAGCAGATTATAACATGTTTATAATGCATTATAGGCATGGGCATCATACTGTAGGAAGTGTAACCAACATAATTAAACCTCTAAAACTCTGCTGAATGCTTTGTACTTATCTGCATTTAAGATAGGTGTTAAGAGGCAGATGGTAGGTATTCTGATATGGAGGAGTTTCAATTCCTACAGTGAGTATGCTGTACTCCTTAAGATAGAAAAGTGTAGAGTTACAGAGCATCACAGTCAGCGTGCTTTAGCTTAGTGTCTAGTTTTAGTGCTGGTATTCTGACACTGAGGAGGAAACCGAGCTGAAGGTGGGGTCAGTCAGACAGGAAGTGAGCAGAGTACTCACTGTGATGCTGGGGCCGAACCCGGAGCCGGGCTGGGGGCTGGCGGCGCTGATGTAGTTCCCCACAGAGGAGTCCTGGCTGTTCCCGTACAGGTCGGCCACGGGCCCTGGGCTGTTGGGACCGGGGAAACCTCCGGGCCGGGACGGGTTGGCGCCTGCACACAAACACAGCGGGGGGGCAGCTCAGAAACACAACAACCAGCTCTACAATCCTTACTCTATCACTCAAAAGGAAAAACCAAAAAAGAACACATGACTGGATTCATGTTTGTCTCAAAAGACTTTCGTATTGTTCATATTACAGATGCGACTAATAAAACAATTTTCATAGCAACTGTCAAAATGTTGCAGGGCTGAGGTTTTAACATGATTTGAAATTAAGAATCCAGTATGATATTCTGCATATAATCTACATGCTGTGTGCATTATGCATTGGAGTAACATTCACTTTGTATTTTCATGCACAACACAAAACAAGCACGCTGCTAGAGATACTTCCACCATGCTAATAAACTAGTAAGGTTGCAGTGTCAATGTTGCCATGCATAATGTGAAGGAGTACTTGTAACACAGCATGAGCTGTTGAAGAGTAGCAGAGGATTATTATGTCAGACTTTAAATGTAGGCACTTTGGAGCCAGACATTTGAAATACCTTATGCTTTCCTATACGACCTATGATTCATAGAACCTACTAAAAAATATTCTCCATATTTTTCGCTGTGTGCTTCAGTCTGCTGGTGTGACTTCAGGCATAAAGTGAGACAAGAGAAGGAGGCACAAGGGGGAAATATAAAAGCTTGACCTGACTTCATGTGCAGGTCCAAACTCAGAGGGGATAAAAAAGAAATACTGTACACGACTTACCACCTTTGCCCTGTGAGTAAAAGCAACTCAGACTAATAAAATGTCTTTTTTTAAATCGAGATGCCTACTAAAGGGCAGTGACACTGACAACAAAAAAGAAATGCAGGGGAAAAAGAAAAATGCAGTGATCTCTTAACAGCAATCTCCTCTGCTGTCAGCATCACATAACCCTGCTTCACCCTTATTCAAACTGTGAAAAAGAAAATATTGCCACTGTAAAAAAAAGGCTCCATCTTGTGTGTGTATGAGCTCATGATGCCTGAGAGGAAGTCTTTGGAGAGCAAGTAAAGAAATAAAGATTGTAGTGTTGACGCACACGATCCTTGTCTCCATGTTTAACATATCAGCGCTCCATCTCTCAGAGCTGTATTAGCCATGTTAGGTCCATTAGAAGCACCTGAAAACATACTCCAGATATGGTGTAATGCACTCCAGAGGAATGAAGCCATCTCACTAAACACACACACTGCTGTTTAACTGTAAGGACTTTAAACAGGGAGCAGCTACTGCTCTTATCTCGCCTGCACAGCCTCCAGTAGGCTGGCTTATTATATAATTAGGGACGTTTTCTTTCTGTTAAAATGGCAATCATCATGACTGATTTTTTTATTAAGAGTGTGGCTCACCCATCTTCCTGTGGAACTGATTTTTCCATTTAAAAATGGAGCAATGGGAGCAAAACAATCTCAAGTGCAACGTGGGTCAGATTGTTGTTCAGAATAACACAGGCGAGTGTGTTTATATTCATTTTGATTATTTTTCTTTATAAGGAATGCTAGTCTTTCTTGTGCTTCAGTTGTAGCGCAGATAAATCTGAGTAAAAAGACGGAACATCTTGTGATGCTAGGGGCGGCTTCAACATGTGGGGAGAAAAACTGGATGAATGGATGAAGGTCTAATGTCTGACTCTTTGCACATTGTGCTTTGTTGCCTGTCTGTGTCTTTCAATCTATATTTGCTTCATTTCAATTCACGTACATGTAGAACTGTACAGGTGGTGGCACTGTGCACCAGAAAAACATTTATCATTGAGATTTGCCTTCAAACTGCATTATATGCTATTCTCCCTTTCAGGCTAGCAATCTGTGGGGCACAATCTTCATCAGTGGACGGAGCGCTTAGAGAGGAGCAGGGCCGCTCGCCGTATCATTTCCACAGTAATGGCATGAGAAATGAAATATGGGTAATCCATGACCTAGGGCTGGTAATCATCATCATTGTAAGGCACCTCGTGTACACAGGAATCTATTACACTTCCTGAAAACCATATTCCTTATCCACTTAAAACAAACATGCGAATAAACAGTACCATTGTGATTCCATTTACTATAATGCCCTCTCTGATTTTCATATCATTGGGGTCAAGGTTGGCTACAAAAATAAAGTCTATTTCACAGACAACAGGAACATTGAACTGGTCGACTCTCAGGATTTAAAGCTGTCCTCTCAAGTGAGAAAAACCTGTGCTTTACCAACCAAGCAAACAAAACACAAGCCACGCAGCGACAGTCCAACACCGTGATGTACAGTAGCTAAGAAACCCAGCTGATCTGTATCCTTTCTTAACTATAATGTATAGAAAACATGTCGACACCAGGCCTCAAAATAAAGAGATCATGGAGCATAGTGAGTGTGAAAAGAAAGTGTGTAGTGATGCTGTAGGAAATTAAACACTTCACACTGATCCATATAAACTGTGTGTGCAGTAGGGCCGGGCAATAATCCAATATGAGTCATATTGTGATTTAATATATATTAATATAATATATTGAAATCTCCTGTTATACAAGAATGTTGTCTTAATCAAACTTCTGTCTTCATCTACTCTATGCATAGCTAGACACATATTTGTCCTTTATACTTTCACTTGAAACTGTTATAACATGCTGTAGTGTGATATTTAACGAAATATGAAATGACTTATTGTGATATACGTTTTGGGTTATATTGCCCAGCCCTTTAGTCTGTGTGTGTTACAATGAGCAGCTTTACAAGAAACCCTCACCCTCAGAAAAAGTCACATCTGCGTAGCTGTTTCTATACAACACGTCTTTGCTTTTTGCTATTTGCTGTGCTAAGGTCTGTAGAAAAGGCCAACATCTGCCGGGGGCAGCTGGCCAACACTTTACCCATTAGGGGAGGGTCTGTCTCACACGTACACACTCACTTTACTGGTCCAAAAGGGCGAGGGGACGGACCCTTTTGTTTTTAATATTTTAGCCATTATTGTCAGGTGAAGGCTATGGCAGGACGTAAGCCCAGCAGGGCCACGAGTCTCCGGAGAGAGGGACCCTAACGCTGAGCGTAGGTCAGCGCTGTCCCCTGCAGCGAGGCCCACATCATGAAGGCTCTCCGCTAAACTACACCCCCTTTAAATTAAATCACAATTTAGAGATGTGCCATGCCAGTGGAAACATGATCATATACTGTAATTATCATTGTTTCAAAAACGACATAAATACTGTAATGTTCTTACAAGTTCTTCATTGTAAAAGATTTCAGTCTGCTGTCAAAGACACAGCATGAATGTATAATCATTTGAATGCAGGTATTGAAATGTCACTGTGCAATATATTTGAGTTAAAAAGTCATGATTACATAACGTGGATAGGAGAACATCAGAAAAGCACACAGAATGACTCGTGTTGTAGAGTAATGGCTGTATTATGCAAAGATGTTGTCTTTTAAGTGAGCATCGTACAGCATCTCCACTGATCTCCAAGTCACACACTAATAACCATGAGCAATCATTCTTACACTTAAAAACGTACAGGACTCTCACTCCCACACTTAACTTGTTCCTTTGCTCTTCAAAATTCACAAAAACCTGAGCTCTGTTAGAGAGGTGAGTGTAATCTCCGACATCATCAGTAGTTATTTTGTTGGCATGCAAATGAAGGCTGCATTCTGTATGTGTCGGCCCCTTATGTGCAAGCAGGGGCTGGGACACAACTTCACAAAGAAACAGAAAATCTACATTAAAAAAAGGAGGAACAACGTGCAATGCTTTTTTTGTCAGCAAGACATGTTTGTATAGGGTTATTTTTTGTAGAGGGGGATTTATTTGTTACCTTAACAAAAGCAAGAGAAAATGTATTTCAAATCAAGATCTGCATGGAATAATGTCATGAATCAAACTGAAAAGTCCAAAGAAGTGGATGAGATAGATGCGCTTATACAAACCTGGGTTCTTAAACTGATCCGGGCTGTGTAGGTGCTGGAGGGGGGAGTTGCAGGCGGAGGTGGCATGCTCACTGTGCAGCATCTGAGCCGCTTGGGGCCCCAGGGAGCCATAGTCAGCAAAGGAGCAGGGCCCCCCCCTCTGGTCACTGGGCGTAGAGTAAAACCCATAATCGGGGAGGCCTGGGAGATACAGTATAGGGTGGGGAGGGGGAGGGGAGGTGACTCCATCATTGTGGAAAACAACTTTTTTTGCATTTTACAAAGTCAATGTCCAGATTGTTAAGCATAGTTCTGTGGTGTGTTTCACCATCATTCTTTTTTAAACAAAAGTACATCCTTGAGTTTTGTCTGCTTTATTTGCCCCCCCCTGCCCTCCCTCCCCAGCAGCTCCTAGCATGTGGCCAGGCCCCCTTGGCATATGGTCCGTGTTTGATACGCTTTAGCTGCACATTTATGGATACACACTATCTCTCCCTAACAATGGAAAACCTCTTAAATGACTTATAGAACCTGTACTTGATACAAATGGACCAATAACAATAAATACAAAATAAACAGTAAAACCTTTCTTCCATATTTACGTTCTTGCATTATTGACCTGTGCCATTCTTGATTTCTTTCCATCATTAAGGAGTGAGATAAAACTGAGGAATCATTAAAACACAGGTCAATACATTTCTTCGTCGACACACCTGAGGGAAGCTTTTGTCATTTAAATAAAAAGAAACATTGCGTGCACCGATCAATAATTCATTTAAAGGTTTTCATGTGAATGAGATACAGATATACATGTTTATCTTCTAACGCTGCTCTCTGTGACACAGATGGTGGATTATCAACAGTTTAGAAAATGTCTTTCAGCAATCAGCCCTGCTGGCATTTATTGCTTGTCGTCTTAATCAAGCTGCTCATATAAAGAGTGCAATTAAAAGAAACGGCTCCTTCTCACACCTCTTTGAAAACACAGTTCATCTAATCGGGAGGAACTGAGATTGGTCAAACCGGCTTTTCCATGCTGGGTTTCCCCCGCTGTGTGTTTTTTACATTTTATTTGGGACCTGGAGCGAATAGCCATTGAAAGCCACTTCACCTCTCCCCATTCACAGTAAGACAGTCCACTTCTGCCAAATGGAAAGTAAGCACCAGCCATGTTTCTCTCCGCCAATGCTTTTTAGCACTTTGATCTCACCACTTGTGGGCTGTCTGCCCACTCATCAAATGATAGGCTCCAAATACGGCAGGCTTCCCACGTACGTCACATAATGCCTGACACATTGAACAAAGCTCAAGAAGCAATCATTCCATTTACTTCACTTAGACAAATGTCACAGAACATTGATTGGCCTTGCTAATGAGGAAAACTGGATCAATGGAATAATTATAACAGGGAGAGAAGAAGCATTTGACAATACCACAAACCGTGTTATTGGGAATTCATAAAGAAGCTATTTCAAATATGTCACCAGTTTAGCACAGAGTAAAGACTGGGGCCAGACAGGCATCACATTCCATTTTATACTACTTAAACGGCGCCTCATAATGAGTATTTGAACTTGCTCCAATAAAGTAAGCAACTAAACAAAACACCTGTTGTAACTAAAGATTGCACGTCTTCTTTGTAAAAGTAAAGTTGCAGGTATAAAGGAGTTTGTGGTAACAGATCATATTAAATGTATTGTTAACATTATTATTTAGACATTCTAATATGGGCTATCAATTAAAATATTGTCAGCAGCAAATAATTGGAGTGGTGCTTAAAAATGGGAATGTTATTTTCAATTGGGATAAGGTTCTAATTATAAGTAACGGACGAACATTAAAGCTAGGGTGGGTGCTGTATTTATAACATGTATTTATTATAAATACCTGAGCTCACTCTGCTTGTGAACTCATTGTGCGTCACCAAAGTTCTCCACTATCTGCTATCTTGACAACTGTGAGTACAAGCAATAGCCATGTTGGTTGTTTATGTTCATAAACACCATTTTGACGCTTGCTGGCTTCTCTAATGTTACCTACCCAAGCTTTAACTGACACACAGTGTGTTTTCTTCAATTCTGTTTGTTTTGCTACTCAAAGATTAGGTTTTAATTGACTTCCTGCTCAGCCAGAACATATTATTATCATACTTTACAGATCAACTTTAAATACAAAACCCCCCATGCCCATTCTTAATTCCTAAACATTTTATTTGAAGATGACCATTTACTAAACAATGTAGGCAAAAAGCGAGAAAGAAAGCCACAATGTGCAAACTACTACTTCAATAATATTGAAACACAAAATAAGAGATCTTGCAAACCACATTACATGGAGGACATCGGCCCAATTCAGGAATGAGTCCGGAGTTACCCAATTAGGGATCAAACGGACTGCATCTTATCAATGTCTGCCCAGCTTTATGAAAAGTTGGTCATTCAAACCAAAACCAATCCCGAACTATTATAATCACCAAACTAATTTCATATAGCCTTAAAATCTATTAAAGGTGGGGTAGGTCATTTTGGAGAAACCAGCTCGAGTGCGCTAGAATTAGAAAATACACAGCTGGAATAAATCTGCCACTTCCTTACAGAGCCCCTCCTCCAACACACACAAACGCGCACATGGCCAATGAGGGCACGAGATAGGTTTGTGCAGATGGAAGGCTGACAGGCAGGTAGGCCATCCAGTTATTTTAGCCGGGCCGGCTAAAATGATTGGTCGTGCTTTTTACAGTAATACGGCTTCCACAGATGACATTTTTTTCATGGACCTTTTGTCAAAGCACTTAAGATATTCATTGCTATCGGGATGTTAAGAGCATTCCATGGAATATAACAAAAAATCTATCTCGAGCCGGTTTCTCAAACTTACCTACCCCACCTTTAACTAACAAAGTTTATAGGGCTGTAAAAGTGGTCACAGACAGTATAATGTTACTTACATAGTAAACAGATCTTTCTGGATTGTAAATAACATTTAGCCAGCTAATGAAAGTTGTGAATGTTTCACACACTGCATTCAGGTGCAGGTGGCTCAGGTAACAAACTGCCGTTGTTTGCCAGATAGAGGCAGCTGGACAAAAGTAGGACTCAGACACAACATGTGGGCACAGACTCTCGGAGCCATATATTTTCATCAGTGGCTATCTGATCCGTTATGCAGGATGAGACTGGGCAGAGTGTGCCCACAGCTGCATTAGTATCACCCATCATATCACGGTGCCTCAGCCCTTCCCACTATTAATATTCACACAATCTATCCAGAACAATGGGCCTTTCTTGGACTCCTTTTTTTTCCAGTGGCCACTAATTGGATGTAATTACTCATCTACAAAACAAATGAGCGTGCTGAGGTTGCCTTGGAGACTAGATCAGGGGACCCAGCAGTGCAAATCGTTCGCAGGGCTTCATTTATACTGGTAATTATCTCCCCTACCCCCACCCTCTTTCCCTCCTGCCCTCAATGACCAGAGCTGGCTGTGCGGCGATGGAGGGGGGAGTGTCTAGCAGTCATCTGTTACTGACATCATCGGGGTGGCTCTCTTTAAGTGGATAAATGCCCTGCTCTCGTTCCCACTTTGCCAGGTGACTGCCTTTAAGGAGGAATCACAAACCTTGAAAGCACTGCTGCTCTTTTTCTCACTAGTTAGAAAATAAAACGTATCACGCTGATGATAAAATATAGCGTCATGCTCCCGGGCCTGTTGAGACTTCAGAGTGTGAAAAATATTTTCATAAGTATGCTAGTTTTCTGCACCAAGTTTCAGATGATCCTTATTTTAATTCCCACAGAAACTCAACATATCAACTAACACATGCACACTTTTAAAGACACAATCCATGTTTAAAATGAAAACAAAACAACTTCAAAACTTCGGACAAAGTTCAAAAACACAGCTTGAAACTGCTTTCCCTAAAAAATGAACTGGTCTCTTAGGTCAGTAATATGATATTCACAACTGTTGTCTAATGTTTTCATTATACTGTAATCACCTGAAACTAAGAACTGTTATGTTATGTGAGAATGAGCCCTATTATTTACATAGGAAGCAGGTCCACTTCCATGATGCACCACCATGTTTCTATAGTAGCCCAGAATGGACAAACCAAACTCTGGCTCTATTGAGGGTCAATATTGAGATTACAATGATCTATTGTGGTAAATGATGTATACTTCCAAACATTAGCTCTTCACCTTCTGCTCCGAAAATTTGATTTTAATTGTGTATGTCTGCTCTTTGTTGTTCTGCAGACAGCAGATGAAACATTTAAGAACTTTTACACAGGCTGCATGACAGCTACCCGATGGTAAAGCCAAAACATCTTTATTGCCCCCTGGTTGCTGGCTGTTAGCTAAGGAAGCGCTTGATTTGAAATTCCGAAAAGAGAACAAAGTTAAACATCAATATCGCCCTCCCTTAAGGCCGTCGTAGTTCTCCGACATGCTTGAAGAAAGGGCGGTGGAGGGTATTTAGTTGGTTGCAATCTGCTACATTACCATTAGATAGCACACTATCCTAAAAGGCGATTTAACGTGTTAATCTTGCATTGTTCTCTGCTTTTATCTGACAACACTAAAGCACCGGAGATTTTATATTGGTCTACTTAATTAGAAACTGAATAATATATACCCCTCTTTTAAAGAATGAGTAATATAGTGTTGTGCACATACATGTCTGTTATAAGACATGTTTAAGATTGAACTACCTGATAATAGGTATGTGAAATAAGATAATATCCTACAAACTGCAATCTTCGTACAGCGATTTAACAACGTGTGAACAGGAACAGAACCGGTTGCCATTGCCATTAAAGGTTTGCTTAAATCAGTTATCTCTGCAAATACATCAGTTTAAAAGGCTTTTAGTGTTCATGTATACTTCGACTCTTTGAGTATACATACATATCTCTGTTAATTTCTACACTCAGCAGGCGCGGATGAGTGGGAATAGGGGAATCATTAAATCTATTAACATAAGTTATTTTCATTTCTGCAAGAAATAATTTCTCATGCAGTCGCTCCTCCCTTTCCCTCGCGGCGCCAGAAGGATTCCTCGGTGGCCATCAAACCACATCACTCCACAGAAGATGTCAATAAACCTGACATGCTGCTTCTCAAATTAGCTTTGAATTTCAGAGCTACCATAATTAGCTTTTCCATTTTCACCAATGTCATTTAAAAATAGCATGAAAGAA